ATATATATATATATATATTGTAGGTTTATTTGGTAATACTACTTATGACAGTTGAGCACAATGTTAACAGATCGTGGGTTGATGTAAAATGTTCGTGTTCACATTCTATAGCAACGTACATATTAAAGCTCTACTATGTCTTTATATCTACTAATCTTGATTTTCAAGGAATACTCATACTCCTGCCACTTGTTAGATAAAACAGTGATAAAAACTGTGTTGAATTCCGATTCTGACTGGTTGAAAGTTCTTTCGTGCATTTAATATTTGATAAGGAACAAAAGGGGGCGTTCCTGGTGAAATGAATTCCTTAATATAGTAACTCAGGAAGACGAATCCACTGAAACACACACACACAGACATTTTTGGCCAGAAGTATATTTTTCGCCGCGGGCCAGCGGCTCATATCTCCGTCATCCTTGACCGACTTGAGATCTAATTCCAGTTTTGGACTCAGGAGGTCAAACCCTTTCGATTGATGTATTTGATCACGCCTCATAGATTAATTTACTTTAATCCTGCTTAAAAGAATTTCAAGTGCCGCGGCTATTGAGGATTCTGTCTTGTATTATTTTCACATTTTTTTTATTATACGTTAGAGTAATAACTGGAGTTAATTATCACTTTTTAGCCGCGGCACTTCGGCTCATAGAAGGGTTTTTCAAGTACAAACTTTTAACTCATAGCTCCATCATCTCCTGACCGATTCAAGGTCTAATTACAGTTTTAGACTCAGGAGATCAAACCTTTTCGACTGATGTATTTGTCCACGCTCAAAGTCTCATAGATTAGTTTATTCTAATCCTGCCTCTAAGAATTTCAATTTGAGAGTAGGCTGGTAGAGATCCTGATGACTAATAAAATCGAATCGGGTATACGTGCGCCCTGCGCTTAGTATTACTGGCGCACAAAAATATAGCTAATTAAAAGGGAAACAAAGGTCTTATAGATTAGTTTATTCTAATTCTGCCTAAAATAATTTTAAATGATATGGCTATTAGGATTATCTCTTGTTAAATATTGCATTTAAATTGTATGCTGGCCTTTTAACCTTAGCGGCTAATGGGGAAGAAAGGCCTGTTACTTACTGATGTTAGTAGCTAACGGCGAAAAAAGGCCTGTTACCTACTGACGTTAGTAGCTAATGGGGGAGAAAGGCTTGTTACTTACTGATGTTAGTAGCTAACGGCAAAAAAAGGCATGTTACCTACTGACGTTAGTAGCTAATGGGGGAGAAAGGCCTGTTACTTGCTGACATTAGTAGCTAATGACGAAGAAAGGCTTGTTACCTGTTGACGTTAGTAGCTAATGGCGAAAAAAGGCCTGATACCTACTGATGTTAGTAGCTAATGACGAAGAAAGGCCTGTTACCTACTGACGTTAGTAGCTAATGACGAAGAAAGGCCTGTTACCTACTGATGTTAGTAGCTAATGACGAAGAAAGGCCTGTGACCTACTGACGTTAGTAGCTAATGGGAGAGAAAGACCTGTTACCTGCTGACGTTAGTGGCTAATGACGAAGAAAGGCCTGTTACCTGTTGACGCTAGTAGCTAATGGCGAAAAAAGGCCTGTTACCTATTGATGTTAATAGCTAATGGCGAAGAAAGGCCTATAATACATAAATAAATCCTTAAAGGTCTTAGAAAGCGTATATCTAAATCTTGTTTGGACAGATATCAAGTCACTTAAAAACGAATTAAAATGTATTAGTTACAATATCTCCGTGTTGAAATAAACTCTTTTAAAACCACAATATTTATAAAATTTTGATGGTTTTCTGGCATGCCATGATTACAAAATAAATAAATATATATAAAGGCTATTTTTAAATGATCGTGAACTGTTAAAGTATTGGCTCTTATTTCGCTAACTTTTCCAAATGATTGTTTTTTGTTTTTTTGGGGGGTTACACAACTTCAAGGTGCCCAGCAGTATTCGTATCAATAAATTTTGGGGGTGCTTAGGCACCCACGGAGCTATAACGTTGGAATAGAATCTTTATGAGGGTAAGTTTCAAGTTACCGCTTAAATATGATGCGATTCAGAATGCTAAAGCTTGGTAATTTTTGTGTGTGTTTGTCTTAGAAAGGTCGTTACTCAGTTCGAAAAACACATTTTTTTGCTACATATAACTTATTATATAATCATTAGAGGTAGTGCTTTGTTTATTTTTTAAAAAAATTGTATTCAAGTGAAATTCAATTGTCGTTGTCTTTTTTTCAGGATGTTTTTCAGAATCACTGTGATGACGAAGAGAACTTGGTCCAGAAACAGTAAAGGCATTTTGTCTTTGAAATGTAGTTTAACGCTGGAAGGATTTCTTGGGACCTGGTTCCGTTTTCCACAAATAACTAGCTCCAACGAAATATCGTGGGAACATTAAGGCCACCGCTTTAACACTCTTTTTCAGTATGACTCTCCGCAGAAGGTTTCGACTAGCGAAAATGGTTGGAACTAGGAGAATAAGCAAACGGCAACACACGTCATTTTACTTTGTATTGACATTCCTCTTATTATTCATATGTATCCTCTTTATTGAAGTTTTTTTTGTGGAAGAAAATAATCCCATGGAATTTAGTATTTTTGAAAGATTAGGGTGGAAGAAAGACACGAATAAAGAGATAGTGCTACCCCCTCACGTGGCGAGAGAACTAGCACGTGTCATAACAGACGCTGTTCAGGAAGATTTGGACGTTATTGTCAATCTGTACTACGATGCTGTAGTGGATGAAACAGGGGCGCTTGGGAATAAAAATGTTGACCATTGGCAACCGGTTAGAGGAACAAAAGATAAATTTCTCGTTTTTTCAGCTTATTATGACGATCGAAGAGTGCAACTGATTCGGGTGATCGCAGCTGCACGGACGCGAAATGCAGACAAAGTAATGTGTAAATTTTGGTTTGCTGATGGGTATTCTTCGACTACTGTTCCCGCGTTTAACAAATTAATACAAGAAAACTGGAACTTGAAATATAGCGCTTATTTTGTACTGTGTCCATTAAGTAAGGCTCTTCCCTCGGTGCCGGAAAGGGTGTCCATAATTACTTCAGAAAACGCTGAAATTACGAACTGGTTGGTTGTACATAACAATAAACAAAACGTCACTTCACCTCATGGAATAGCAGTGTGTGTAAAGCCCGTGCATTATGATTACAACAAACTATTGAGCTTTATCGAATTTATAGAATTAAACAAGATTTTTGGAGTCGAACATTTTATTTTGTACAATGATACGATTGGCCGTGACGTTGCGTGTGTTATGCGACAATATATGGCAAACGGAATTATGAGCGTTCTTCCTTGGAAACTAGACATGGTTTCCCAGAAAGAGATCCGGACAGAGGGCTTGTTCGCTGCCCTAAACGACTGTTTGTACAGAACGATGTATAGGTTTCGGTTTGTCTTAATGATTGATTTCGATGAATTCATTGTTCCCCACAAGAGCGATTCACTTACCGAAATGCTGGAAGTCGTCGCTAAAAACAAACCTCTGAAAACAGGTGCTTATTCATTTCAGAATTCCTTCTTTTATCTCCAGTGGCCGTCAGACGCTAAGTCTCGGAGTTTACCTCTTCGTTTGATAACGCTGGAGAAAACTGTGAGGAAATTAAAGTTTCATCCCCACAAACAGCGCTCCAAGTGCATCGTGCTTCCAGAACGCGTGGTGGAAATGGGCAACCATTTTGTCTGGGAGTTTCTTCCGGGTCGTGCCATGGCGAACGTCCATTCAGACATTGGGTTTCTGCATCACTACCGAATCTGTGAGTTTGGTGGAAACGACTGTATCAACACGACCTCCAGGGTGGACCGCAGAATTTATCGTTGGAAGGACCAACTGGTCCAGGCGGTTCAGACACGCCTGAAGGACTGGGAGTTCATCTGTAATTTCTTTGCCGTTTCGGCAGACAAAAAGACCAGTCTTCTTCTCTGACAAGCTTTGCTGCAGTCTTGAACACTCACTGCCTTACGTTTTGCCCACTGTTCTAAACCTATACTCGACAAGGCTTTAGAATTAACAATAAGCAAATAAATAAAGCAACAACATTATTAACCCTAAAACTTTAAAAGTAATACCTTAGAAACTGCATTTGAGATCCTGGCTACGAGGTTTTTATTTCAGGAATTCTTATTGTCACTTGTTTTGAGTAATATACGTTTTTTTGTCTTGAATAACACCAAAATTTTAGTATTGAGTAATACCAAAATATCCATCTTGAGTAGTACTAAAATATCCATCTTGAGTAGTACTAAAATATTCGTCTTGAGTAGTACCAAAATATTCATCTTGAATAATACCAAAATATTCGTCTTCAGTAGTACCAAAATATTCATCTTGAATAATAACAAATATCCATCTTGAATAATACCAAAATATCCATCTTGAGTAGTACTAAAATATCCATCTTGAGTAATACTAAAATATTCGTCTTGAATAATACCAAAATATCCATCTTGAATAATACCAAAATATCCATCTTGAGTAGTACTAAAATATCCATCTTGAATAATACCAAAATATTCGTCTTGAATAATACCAAAATATCCATCTTGAGTAGTACCAAAATATCCATCTTGAGTAGTACTAAAATATCCATCTTGAATAATACCAAAATATTCGTCTTGAA